TACGTGTTACATACACTATTTTTTGTCATACGCTTTTTACAGTTTTTTAGAACGCATATTTGCAAATTTTCCATATTTGAAATTATAATGTTTGAAAAAGTTGGCTTATAAATTCATATCTTAGTAACGAGTTTGTTTATTTCATCGCATTTTGACATGTCATTCGAAATTTGTCACAAAATCACACAAATTCATCAACAATTTTAAAATGTTCCAAAATCCCGAACATATTGCTAATAAGGCCAAAGAAATCGTGTTGGATTTACTTCCTGTGAAGTCTCGTGCCATTTACCAGAAAGAATATGATGTTTTTAATGAATGGAAAGACAAAAATGGCGTATTCGTTGTAAATGAAGATGTATTGCTAAATTATTTCCACGAAAAGTAAGTACCTAGGTACCTATTTAAAAGAGGCTTTTAAATTAAAATATTCTTAAATTACAGTCACAAACATTCAAACCATCGTCAATTTGGTCGAAATATTCCATGCTGAGAGCAGTGTTAAGTGTTAAAGGAGATATTTATATTGACAAATTTCCAAAACTTATTGCTTTTTTGAAGAGAATTCGGTTGGTTACGAGCCTAAAAAGTCTAAGGTTTGTCCATAAAAGAGATCGGTGATTTTTTGGCCACGGCTAGTGATGAAACTTATTTACTTACTAAGGTAAGTTTGCGATAATGATTTTTAAATATATAGATGGTTTCTTATTCCATTGTATTTGATTTTTAGGTAGCTCTTGTCATTGGCCTTTGTGGAGCATGTAGAAGAGAAGAATTGTACTCTACGAGTGCAAGACATATAGAAAAAGACAACAGCTGCCTTTTAGTTACCCTTGCGGATACAAAAACTAATATCAAAAGAGTGTTTCCGGTGGTGAACGAAGGGAACGTTGTCAATCCAGTTGAGTTGTATAGAAAATATGCTTGTCTTAGGCCAAAAAATGTACCACATGATTATGTCTTCATCTCTTATCGTAAAGGAAAATGCACCGTGCAACGAGTCGGCATTCATTCATTTGGGAAGATGCCATCGATTGTAGCAGCATTTTTAAAGTTGTCGAACCCAAACGAATATACAGGTCATTGTTTCCGACGTAGTTCTGCTACTCTTGCTGCAGATGCAGATGTGGATTTTACATCGCTGAAACGCCTAGGAGGTTGGAGGTAAAAATTTTAATATTTTCCGATCTTGTTCTAAACAACAATAATTATTTAGGTCGTCCACAGTGGCCGAAGGTTACATAGAAGAATCTATTGAGAAAAAGAAGAAAGTTTGCAAACTGCTAATGGGGGAAAAGAAAATCGCGACCACTTCCACGGATGTATTACCAAGTACATCATCGTTCGCATTTACTCCACCTCATCAGAAAGTAAATTTACCTGCCAATGGAGGAGTCGTTTCGATTGCAGATGCAAGTTTTCAAAATGCACAAAATTGTTCATTTCATTTTTATTTTTCCAAATAACTTAGCTTTTGATATTGTTAGTATTTAATAATTTAAAAATCAAATACAATGGAATAAGAAACCATCTATATATTTTAAAAATCATTATCGCAAACTTACCTTAGTAAGTAAATAAGTTTCATCACTAGCCGTGGCCAAAAAATCACCGATCTCTTTATGGACAAAACCTTAGACTTTTTAGGCTCGTAACCAACCGAATTCCTCTTCAAAAAAGCAATAAGTTTTGGAAATTTGTCAATATAAATATCTTCTTTTTAACACTTAACACTGCTCTCAGCATGGAATATTTCGACCAAATTGACGATGGTTTGAATGTTTGTGACTGTAATTTAAGAATATTTTAATTTAAAAGCCTCTTTAAATAGGTACCTAGGTACTTACTTTAAACAAATAACTTAGCTTTTGATATTGTTAGTATTTAATAATTTAATTATAAATATATGTATAATTTTATGTGATTTTGTGACAAATTTCGAATGACAAAATAAAACAACCAAATAACGAATTTAGACATTTTAGTCCATAAAGGTTGCCATGACGACCTTTACGGCCTAGGCCGAAAAAGAAACATTTTACGGACTGAAATGAGTCCGTAAAATAGCTGTTTTTGGGAGCGTATGACAAAAAATAATTTTACTTCATATCTATATTACGGTTAAGGTCCGATGTCCAGTTATTGTCGACATTACCCGGTTAATCTCGAGAATAACACACAACAAAACAACCAAACCCAGACATTAACCGTTAATGTCGACATTAACCGGACATCGGACTTTAATCGTAACACCTACAACAGCCAATAATTCTAAAAATCGAAGATTTCCAATTTGGCTTCTTAATTAGAATTTATAAAGGGTTTACACCAGTGGCGTAGCTATTAGAGGGCAGTTCAGTGCATTGCACCGGGGCCCCACAGGAACTTGGGGCCCCGCAGAGCCCTTCAAAAAAAATATTTAATAAAAAATATAAATTATTTTGGTTTTGTTCTTCAGTCAGGGGCCCCCAAAAATATATCGCACCGAGGCCTCCAGTTGTCAAGTTATGCCACTGGTTTACCCATGTGGTAATTAGAATTCCGCCACCTCTATTATGGCACAATTTGCGGTAGCTTACCCTCTTGCTTCAGTTCTTCACCCTACGTGAAGATATGGTAACATCAAGTATTGATTCCCTTTACTTTCTCGGACTAAGTTTTCGAAACTGCGCCATATATGAGGCTTCAGGCAGGTTGTGGTTCACTAGGATTTTGACTTGGTCTGTCCATCTCTTAGGTGACCTACTACGTGATGGCCTTTCCTCTGCCTACCCGTCCACCATCAGTCTCTCCGTTGAGGTGGCACTCCTAGAAATTTGGCCAAAGTATCGCAGGATTGGCTGATGTAATTTTGTGACCAGGCGTGTCTTAATTTTTAGTTCTTCAATAATGGAAATATTTGTTCGATGAGACGTCCACGGTATTCGCAGCAGCCGTCAATATACGATTATTCTTTGTTTATCGCTTTCCTTTAGTGTCCAGGTTTCACAGCCATACAGCTATATGGTGAAAACAAGTGAGTTCGCAATGCGCAATTGGTTGTGTGACTGCAATAACCTTCCATATTTTAATAAATCTAGCTTTGTTGTTGCATTCCTCACCCATTGCCACTCTGCGCCTAATTTCAGTCTCGCATTTTTAAGAGTTTGCTAACATGGAAGCTACGTAATTGAACTGGCCCACAATCTCGTATCCAGCCCACAGTTCGGACAACAGGCTGGTTGTTACAGAGGCGATCCACAATCATCGTCTTGGTTTTTCATGTGTTTAGTTCCAACGCATATTCTTCACTAATAGAGCACAGTGCAACCATGACTTCCTGCAACTCTTCTTTGCTGGCGGCTATGGTTGGTTGGTTGGTTGAAGTGGCGAATGCGACCGCTTGATGAACTCCAATTAGCAGAATTGCCGTTTTGATACCACTCACTCTGAGACTCTATCCTTAGGGATGGAAAAGTTTGACCTTCCGGTATGCTCTTCCCGGCAACATCTTCAAGATTTACAAAGCTGTAACCATCAATCAACCACCGAGACGGTTACGGATCCTATACAAAGCCGGACAGCCGCACAGGAAATGCAGGACAATAGTCAAAAAAAAGTACGACGAGTGGCAAGTACATTTAAAAACATTTAAAAACATTTAAAGCATTTACTACTTGCCACTCGTCGTACCTTTTTTTGACTATTTTGGAGGATGAATTAATGGGGGATTGTGGATGAGTTCAGCGCCGACATGGCTGCTTGGCTGTCAGTGATTATTGCAGTTTCCCTCCCATAAGGTGTCTCCTCAACCTCGCTCAACCATTCGAAGGCCTTCCAAATGGCAAGTATCTCTGCTTGGAAAAGACTTGATCTATCCGGAAGCCGGTAAGACCTTGCGATGTCAAGACCCTTCGATAACACCCCCGAACCTACACCTGAATCCATCTTCGATCCGTCAGTAAACAGCGCAATATCAAATTCCTTTAGTAGTTTGTCAGTCTCCCACTTCTTTCTGGTCGGAATTCTGACTAGAAAGTTCTTTCCAAGTTCCAACCTAGGTGTCAGATGATCCAGCAATAATATCCTTCGGTAATCTTCCAAAAATACTGCTGTAACCGTAGAATTTCTCCGTCCAGCAACCAGTTTCTCCGAGCCTGATTGCACTACTAGAGGCCAGATTTTTAATATGAAGATCTAATGGGAGGAGATGAAGAAGCACATTTAGAACATGTGTGGGAGTCGATCTCAACGCTCCTCTAATGCGCACACAAGCACTCCTCTGTACTTTTCCAAGCTTGGAAATATTGGTTGTCTTCTCCAAAGCTGGCCACCATACCAGGCGATCCATATGTAAGGATTGGTCGCACTATAGCAATGTATATCCACTTAGCCATACTCGGTTGGAGTCCCCACTTTTTACCTATCTTTTTTTAAACGTGTAGAGGACAACGCAGGACTTTTTTTTATTTCTTCTACGTTGGTTCTTACATAAATACTTAGCCTTGGATGATAATGTCAGCGTACCTAGTACCGATGAGTCTTGGTATCGCGAAAACAGGCACCTTAGATTTAGAAAAGGAAACTTCAGAATTAGAGGAAATATTTGAAAACGCTGAAAAAGTGTAACAAAAATCTATAACATTCTTCACAGATAATTAAGCTATAGTTTCTAAGGTTCACAAAAATGTCACTGTGGTTGAAGTCGTGACTATAGGTTTTTCTAGATTTTACACTTTGCATAAAACTAATTATAAAATAAACATTAAATAATATAAAACAAAAACACACACCTAAAACGCAAAAGTTCAAATTTGTCAAACAAAAAAAAACTCAAATAAAACCATCAAAAAATTGTTTCTTCTCCCTCACTCCTTTTCTAATGTTTCTAAAAATAAAAATATTTTTGATCTGGGATACATGAATGTAACCTCTGTATTTTAGGTCTAAATAAAATAAGCTCTACTTTTCAGAAACCTTCCTTTGACCAGCCAGATGAAAACTGTTTGTGTTATTTTTAGAGCGTCATTCAAATGGGAGGATTCCGTTCTTTGGGCGACGACGAGGAAGTCGAATACGCGTGCAAATCGTCCGAAAAAGGTCTAGAAGCGGTAAAAGTAACCGGTCCAGGGGGCGCTGACTGTAAAGGATCGAACAGAAAGCTGGCCTCAAAGAAGCGCTATCGGAAAATAAGGTAAACAATAATTTTCAAAAACATTAATAATACTAATATTTATTTAATAAATAATAAAAATATATACAGGGTAGCTCGTTACTCAGAGAAAGTCCAATACAGAACTGCAAGTCAGTTTAAAATTAACTTAAATCATAAGTCTTTGACTTAAATCATTTTACTTCATAAAAAAGTTCATATAAAAGTAATTTTCGTATAGACTTAAATCAATATAATTTAATTGAAGTCGTTTTTATGACATATCTACAGGATGAGTTTTCTACGATGTTCTCTATGAGTATCTCGGAAACTACTGGAGATAGAGAGTCGCTTAAATGGGGAAAGAATTGCAGTTTTGTGAGGTCATAAATATGCGCTTTTCAGATTTTTTAAAAAGTTCATGGCTTACTAGATATTTCGAAAAAAACTAAATTTGACTATTTTATAAATTGTCCCTAATTCCATTATAATCTATTTTAGACAAAAAATTTTCAGATAAAAGTTGTAGATAATCACATCCTAAATGAGATTGCGTCCTCCGTTTTTTTTTCTATAGCATGTCATTTTTGACATATCAGACAATCATATGTTTTTTTAATGGAAACCATAGTTGGCCATGACAACATAAAAAGCGCCATTTTTTAAGCGTTTCAGCGATATAAGCTATAATATGTTTTTATTTTTGAAAAATTACTGAGTTATAGCCAATTCTTATAATTTTAAAACAATTTCACTTAGTTAGCCATGGAAACAAGTTCAATCGTCGTTGCCTTCAGAAATGCAAAACTGTCACATCCAAACTTTGTAAATTAAAATAAACAAAAATTGTAAATATAATTTTTTAAATGAAGAAAAGCATGTAGGATTATTGGTTCAACTTTTCTTGGTCATACATTTTCGAGGATACGTTGACCGCTGAACGTTACTTACGTCTTTTAGAGAACGGTTTTAAAGACATGTTAGAAAAGTTAAATTTAGATAGTCGCGCATCAATCGAGTGATTCCAACACAACTTTCATTATGACACCCCCCACCCCATAATGACAGAAATGTTAAAAATTATTTATATCATACTTATGCAAACTCAGGGATCCGAAGAGGTGGACCAATTGCATGGGCCTCCTCGATGAATTAAGAGATGCACTCGAAGAGAGAGACAGGGGAGAATATTTTCTAAAATAAATTAAAGTGTATGGGTTGGTGATATTATTGTTTCAAGTTTTAGTTTGCGTAATGTAACATTTATTGTAAAGAACCGTTTAATAATATATTCTATCTTTTTATAAGTTATAAATCAAAACAGAATAAGAATACCATGCCAAATAAGTAAAATTAGTCAAGAAAGATAAGAATTGGCTATAACTCACTATACCATTTCCTTATTTCACTTATATTATTGTACAAATTATTTATTTATTTGTATTATTAGGTAAAAATATTCTAACCTAACCTAACCGACATAAAATGTCCTGCCGTATCAGACATGGCTTCATCCAAGCTCATTAGCTTTAAGATGCCTATTCAGCTTACAATGCCCTATTAGTAGACCCACCCCACTACAGCTGTGACTGTAATGGGTTGTTCTGTACAGAAACATCGGCATATAGTACCATATTTAAATTTGAAACACTGCTGAATATTTTGATTTCAAACGATTCATCGCGGTGCGGCCATGTTATTTATACTAAGTAATAAAAAATTAATTTTGAGTAAATAATATTTATTATATTTTGGTTAAAAACAGGATAAGTAAAAAGGATCAGTTAAATTTTGTTAATAACTACTACAATGTTTTCCAAAACACCCAGGATAACATAATAAATCCATGAACCAACTCACAGTATCTTATACAGAGTTCTTTATATGACGTGGTCAGGAACAATTCAATGCGTTATCTCAATTTTTTAAATGCAACACATATTTTTTACATGTAGAATTAAAAAACGTTGTTTGTATTTAAAGTGCTCAAAAATGTTTAACCTTTTTGCAGATATTGGCGGATTATTACATCTAGTTATAATAAATACAGGGTGTTTCAAAAAACATGTGCCATCCCTACCTAACCGTATATTATTTATTATACAAAATATAAATACTTTGTCCAATCATAAAATTATATATTTTAAGTATTAGCATGATAATTTTCAGTTTTTTTCAAAATAGGCTTTATATATACATGGTTGGTAGTAAAGACTGGATTACTATACAGGGTGTCCCAGAAATAAGTGCAAGTATTTTAAGGGGTGGTAGATCTCGATAAAAGAAACATATTTTCTCTTTTTTAAGTCCGAAATAACGGAGTTATTTTACTTTGAAAATTTCCAAAAATAGCTATTTTTGTAACAAGTTGCGAAATGAATGTGATTTAAGCACGGGACGCAAAATCGTCCAACGAGGCGAAAGCCGAGTTGGACAATGCGTCGAGTGCTTAAAACACTCTTTTCGCAACGAATTTCATATAAGATTTTTTGTGAAAGCAGATAATTTGAGATTTTCATGCTATTATTATTATTTATTCTTAAACATTTTTTAAAATGTTCTGGTAATCGGTTTCTAAGGCATTGTTTATGCATTGTTTAATGACAAAGTTCTATCAGGTTCAAACGTCGCCGTATTTCCTACAAAGTTTTGTGAAAAAATGAATGATAATGACGAGTCTTTGGATATTCAACAAGCTGCTGAAACTGCACTATCCACGTTAGTTCCCGAGAAGTCGAAAATCTTATACGAGACCACCTACAACAACTTTGAAACCTGGGTCAAAGAAAAACATGTTCAGAATATTTCCGGAAGTTATCCACTACCTTAAAGCCGTCAACTCTGTGGAGTAAATATTTGATGCTCCGCACCATGATTTACCTAAACAGAAACGTAGATATTAGCAAATTCACTAACCTTATTGCATTTTTAAGAAAAGCTTCCGGATATCAGACAAAGAAATCAAAAGTATTTACAAAACTGGAAATAGAACGACAAAGAATTCCTGTTAGCTAAAGTTTTCTTAATCGTTGGAGATTTGGAGCATATAGGAGGGAAGAAATCGCGTTTTTGACCGATGCCATTAAAGATTATCAGTCATTTATTACTGTACCGTGAAGATTCCGAATACAAAAAGTCATTTTCCAAGAGTGTTTACGATTACTGAGAGACCAATAGATGGTATCAATTTCTTGCATGTTTTTCGTAAGTACGCAAAACTTCGACCACTCAATGTGACACATCAGCGATTTTTCTTGACGTATCGAAAAAATCAATGGTGTACCATGTAGTTGGAATCAATACAATTGGAGGTATGCCAAAAAAGATAGCGGAATTTCTTGAACTCTCCAACGCCATTGAATACACTGGTCATTGTTTCCGGCGCAGCTCTGCGACAGTGCTGGCAGATTCAGGAGCGGACATAACAGTTTTAAAGCGACATGGAGGTTGGCGATCAAGCTTGGTTGCTGAAGGTTACATTGAACATTCAATTGAACAGAAAACCGAAATAGCAAAAATAATCATGGGACAGAAAGATAAGCCAAATAAGAAATTAAAAGCAGTTCACGTAGAAGCAGAAGCTACCAGCATTGCCAGTACAAGAAATTTACTTACTCAGACTCCTACAACTTGTATTTCTCTTAGAGACGAAAAGTTGGATGCCTCTTGTATTCACTTTAGTAATTTAAATAATTGTACCTTTAAGATTTATAATAAATAAATATTTTCATTGTTTCTGACGTTTCATTTTTTACTTTTAGGCACTAGTGCCTAAACAAGTGACACTTTGAGATACTAGTGCCTAAAAGATGGTCATTTCGAATCTCAAATAAATATCAAAAAGTGTCAATTTCGAATGAATTTTCAATTTTTTTTTTCGCGGAAAAAACACATAGGCGTGTTTCTGGGTTTGAACTATACTACCAGTTAAAATACTTGCACTTATTTCTGGGACACCCTGTTTAATAGTCTATCCGCAACAAATCCCTATTTGCTGCAATTTAATTTATTTCTAATTTTTCAGGTGTTACAACTGTGGAGAATTTTCGAATCACATAGCGGCAAAATGTACGTTGGGACCTTTACCCAAAAGATGCCATAACTGTAAAAGTGAGGAGCATCTAATCGCCGATTGTCCCACAAAACCAGAAAGACCTTCAAATACCGAAAATAAAGGTACCAGTCTAGTATAACACTAAACTAAGCAGCAATTTTTAAATACAACTTATTTACATTAATAGCTTTTAGTTGACATGGTTCAAACAATTTTTATTACAAATTTATTACCCGCATATAGCATATGATCGAAAAAACAGCGTCAGCGATGTTATGAAATGAAGATCGCTGATATTTTATATAAAAAAATATATGGGGATTGTCATCGACCGTCATTTTCAAGCCAACTGAACGTTTTTTTTCGTACACAAACGTTTCGGCCAATGATATATGTACCCTAAATGTTCTATAAGTTAAATTAAATAAACACAATGGAAGTCCGAATTTTTTTTAGTATAAATAATAAATATAGTTGATATTTCGCTAGGGTAATTGATGGACAAACTTCATTTCCATTAGTCTTTTGAATTTTATGAGCCGACAATACCAACAGGTATGGTAGGCTATTAAGATCGGCCAAAAATAAGTTTTTTTAATTTCACTCAAAATGAGTTATTTAGGTCATAAATGACCTAAATACAAAATAGTTTCATGGTGTCTGTCTGTACGTCTGTCTGTAACCCGGTAACTCAAAAACCGCTGAACCGATTTTAACCAAATTTGGCACAAAAATACTGTGGCACCCGAGAATCTGGCCATTATTTTTGGTGGGGTTGGGGGGTTGGTAAGGGGGTATGGGAGAGAGCTAAAAATTTTAAAAAATAGTAACTCCAAAGTTACAGTAGATAGCGAAACGCGGTTTTCAATTTAAGATTAGGAATAATTTTTGCAACAAAATTTGTAATAACATCAAAATCAGTCAAAGTCGCAGTTTTTGAGATAATTGAAACTAAAAGAACTGCCTACCAACTTTCTATTAACATATTTTGGTATGGGCGACTATACATGTCTCCTGGCCAATTTTTTTTATTTCTGCTCGTGCAGGTCTCGGGTTCTTCTTCTTCACTTAAAACTCTTTTCCGGAATGTTACTGCGAGGTGTCCAGTATTGGTACTTAGTATTCTTTTTTTTTTGGTTATACTTCGTTTTTGTTCGTTTTTTAATAATGTCACGGTGTTTTTTGCACTAGTGTAAAAAAATTGAGTTTTAATACAGCAGATAATGTAAAAATTGCTACTTTTCGCACGATCGTAGAAAAAAGTCATTTTTACTCCGAATAGAACATGCTATTTTTTTCAAATGTCACAAATAATATAAAAATATTTAAAATTAAAACCGTATGATCGAACAGAAACGGCGTCCAGTTCTTATAAATGACGATCGATGACATTCCCCATATAATTTCACATATAAAATGACAGCGATCATATCCCTCGCTGAGTGTGCGAACACAGTGCAAGCAGGTTTGCCGCTTTCTGGTAGCCAGCGCCAATCTGGGCACCTATTCTTGACATCGTTCGCAACTTTGCGTATACGCATCATCTGTATTGTTTTATACAGGGTATCCCAGATATAAGTGCAAGTATTTGAAGGGGTGGTAGATCTCGATAAAAGAAACATATTTTCTCTTTGTCGTTTTTCAAATACGTCCAAAATAACGGAGTTATTTTACTTTGAAAATTTCCAAAAAAATGATTTTTGCTAAAATTTTGAGAACCACTTGATCCTTTCTGGATTTTTTTTCTTGTAAATTTATTCTACTACCTATGTTGCCATATTATCAAGAAATTATCTTTTTTTAATAAAAAATAAAAAAAAATCCAAAAAAAATTTCAAAAAATTCGAAAAAAAACTCATAGGCGTGTTTCTGGGGTTGAAATATACTACGACCCAAGTAGCATCTATCTGACTTCGAACTAAATCTGACCTGAAGCGACGTCAGACTTTGTGCAAATGTAGTCGCTTTCCTATTAAAAGCGACGTCGTTGGATCCGAGTGGGTAAATCCAACGATCTGTCGACGTACAAAATAACAACGTACCATTTTTATTAATTTCTCAACGTCGTTCCCACGTTGGCTTGCACGACGTACATATACTTGAACTAGCCCGACGTCTACCCGTTGTCCGAATACTATACGTCTCACTGATAATCCCTAAAGTAACGTCCAATTATATTTTGGTGTATTTTATGTTCATATTTATAACCTAATTTACATATATCTATTTACGTCCGTAAATACAGCTCATTAAGTAGCATTTGCGGCCTAATGAACATCATGAACATAACCTAATAAAAAGTTTTTGTAAACAAACTTATGCCTAAAAAAACACTAAAAAGGCATTTAGACATTCACCTATATTTTACAGAAAGAGGTGGAGGCTTTTGCAAAATTGTAATAGTAGTAGTGATGTCTTGCCTCCACCCACGAATGCTTTTTATCCGGAAGAGATGCTGCACTACACTGGTGCATCTTAATTTCATTTTTTAGCTTAGGAAACCAGCAGACCCCATCCTCCGCCCACATGTGAGGTTCCAATTCTTTTAAATTTTGTATATATACTATCTTAAAAAAAGTGGCTGCCCATTTTTTTAAGGAGAAAACAAAAACTAAGATATAGTTGCACAAATCCACAAATCACTGATACGCAAAGTGAGGTTACATGGCGTACGTTGGAATTATATACGTCATAATACGATTGCCGGTCGTCCGGTTTGATGACTTCGGTCGCGTGAGACGACTAATGTTGGAGACCCGGTCGGAATTGGTATATTGGTAGTTCATATTAAGTCGGACACAGAAATCCGCCATTCTTAACAAGTATCCGATTGTCAGCCATTTTAAAATCTGTTCTGTAAGTTTTTTGTTTTTAAAATTTATATTCACATTCTCATTTCTAGTAGAATAATATTGATAAGGTTGAGTTTGGGGGGAACCACAGTACAGTTTTATGATTAAACCAGCTAGAAAATAAAAAAAATATTTTGCGAGTTACTTTTTTATAGATATTTTTATTCCATAAATCTACCTAATTTTGAAGGCGCTCGTTGTTTTCCGGAGTATTTTAATCAGATATAGGTATCAAAAAAGTGACTTCCGTTGACAAAAATGATGTCTGGATTAATGATGTAGAATTATTATAATATGAAATTAGGCAGGCACTTATAGTTATATTCAAGGAGTGATTATGAATCCATTTGTAATTAGGTAGTTTGGTTAGGTTTTTATGGTAGCGAATATGAAACCATGAAACTAAACGTAACGTAAGTGCTTAGCGACAAATTTTAAGTGACTAAAATCCAACGTAATATGACGTTGGTAATTGGTAGAATTACATTCCCTATTAGGTCAGATACCGACGTCGAGGCGACCCCATTGAGGTGCAAATAAGGGTCGTCAGGCGGTCGAACCGACGTTGGTACCCGACGTCGGGTTTATTGAACGCGACGTATACCCGACGTTAGATAACTTCCAAATGCTACTTGGGCAGTTAAAATACTTGCACTTATTTCTGGGACACCCTGTATATGAGTACAAAGTAGCTCCGCGCCGCCTCGCGCTTATAGCCTTGAAAAATTAATGCGTGTTATCAAATCGGCTAGTTCACAGTGAAAGCAGGTAGGCACCTTCAACCAGCGTTCATCGGCGTTCTCGCTTTTACCGGAACGAAATTTTATTTATTTCTGCTTTTGCAGGCGCCGACGGCGCACAGAGGGTATTAAGAATTAAAAGTTGGCCAAAATTATGTTTTATGATTTTTTTGCTTTTTTGCTAGTAATATTAATTATTAGAGGAGAGGGTGCTAATATGGAACCCCATTTTGTTTTTCCTACACAATATTTTTTCCTCTGCTCTGAAACCCTTTCCACCGATCAAATTATTAGAGGAGAGGGTGCATTCTGTGCAAAACCAAGCAATTGGATGAGGATGCTAGAACAAGAAAGTAATTTGTATATTATAGACGATATTTGAGCGAGGATGGGTGTTATAGGGTAAAGACTATTTCGTTTAAGAATCTATTTTAATCAATGTTTTTTTTGGCAGTGGCAAATATTGGCAAGATTTTTGTACATATTCCAAAGCTGGAGACTTTAAGCACTGAACGGATACTAATTTCCATGCGGAATATTGCCGAATAGTCTTACACCTTATAAAAATGCCTCTGATTTTTTAAATATAAAACATTATAAAGAAATAGAATAGAAGGAAACGTTTCAAAATAAAAATATGGCATAAAACAGGACTTGCCAGCTGGCTCTGTATCCATCATGACAGTTATTATAAACAATTTGTAAAAAGCACTACAAACAATTCCACTATTTTATAATCTTAGAAATTTTCAGAATACACTCAAGATAATTCATACTTATAATTGAAATATATTATTTATTTGATAGTCAACTTACGACTTAAAAAAGCTAATAAACGCGCTTACATTTAGTATTTATAGATTTGTATTCAGTTAAGATAAAAAATGAAAATAAAAATATTTCACTTTTGGCCAGGTTTATAGACCAAATACCCCTAGGTGCGGGGCCGGCGCGGCGGGAGCGGCGTTTGGATATGGTTAGGTTAGGTTAGGTTAGTTAATCAGGTAAATTTCCTCTTAATTAACTACTTCCGAACCCTGCTCGCATCTCCGAAAAAGCTATATAACAATACACGGCATATACGCAAAGTTACGCATCACGTGTATTGTTATATGGCTTTTTCGGCGATGCGAGATGTGAGCGATATGTGGTCAAGAGTAGGTCCCCAGAGACGGCGCTGGTTGCCGGAAAGCAGAAACCTGCCTGCACTATGTTCGTACCCTGACGCCGACTTTTCGATCAGTAACTAACTTTCGAGTAAGTAATTATATATCGAGAAACTACGGTTACGTTCATTAATTTGACACTTTATATCAGTTTAATATTCGTACTTTTGTGCTTAGGTGTAAAAGTTTGGCTTTACTTCTATGCCTAGTCGTTAAAATAACTTTTTTATATTGTGAATCGCGTTGCAAAAATTAATACTTGTGTGACGTTTGGAAAAAATATTATAGGAGTGCAGGGTAAATAATAAAAGGATCGTTTTTTTTAATTATTATTTATTTAAAGATGGGACGTAAATACAAAATGTAAAAAAAAGTTTTGCATACTAGTCTTGGTATTGCGTCAATCTTGCACTGGTCAGTCTTGGTTTTGGTGGCTTGGAGAATCGCTCTTGGTCTTACTTTTTGGGCAAGACCAAGACCAGTCTCTCTCATCACTAAACCTGTATTAATCAATACCAATTTGATAAAAATATATGTTTTTTAAGTTTTTATATACAGTGTGGTCCGAACTGTATTCCGGAAACTTAGACAGCATATTATGCAGATAAAAATAAGTAAAAAAGTTTCTATAAATGTATGTCCTAAATGCTTAGTTTTGGAGATACAAGGTGTACAAATTTCATTTTTATTTCGATTTTTTTCAAATAATTTCTGAAGCCAATATGACTGCTACTTGTAGAGGGCGCCACCTACATATTTGTTAACTGGTTTGAAGAGTAATACTTTTTCGTCAGTACCTGTATAAAACTATTGAGTAAAAAAAAATACATTTACGACGTTTTTTACTTAAAAAAAGTCTCTTGGTAAAAATCGTTACGAGTAATGGTTCTCGAGATATTTGGAATCGAAATTATCAATACCTGCCGTCATTAACATAAATTAAACATGTTTACTAAATAGTTATTACGCTGAAATCATAAATTAGAAATGTTTTTGTGCCAAAAATTCAACAGAAACTGTTTATCATATTTTTTTCGAAGAAAAATTTATGTTAATTTAAAAAAATAATTTATCATTTCAGTCAAATAACTATCTACTCAACATGTTTATTTTTTGTCAATAATGACATGTATTGACTCTTTCTATTCTAAATATCTTGGGAACGGTTTTTACCAAGAGGCTTTTTTCCGTAAAAAATCACGGTGATATATATTTTTCACTTAGTAGTTTTATACAGGAACGGACGAAAAGCTATTACTCTTCAAACCAGTTAAAAATATGTAGGAGGCGCACTCTACAAGCAGGTGGCGTATCGACATCAAAATCAAATTTCCCATGTCAAAAAACTTCCAGACACAATTTTCATCGAAATATTGACGTTACTTCAAAAATTATTTGAAAACAAATCGAAATAAAAATAAAACTTCTACACCCTGTATCTCCGAAAATAAGCATTAGTGATGTAAAAATTCTAAGTAATCGTTAAAAAGTTTCAATTCTAAGTAATCGTTAACAATTTCAAAGTTTTAAATTCAAAGCAAGGTTAAACTTAACCTTGCTTTGAATTTAAAACTTTGAAATTGTTTTGTTTACTAGGTATTTTAAAACTAAAGGGCTAAAGTGCTTATTTCCAGTGCTTTATTGTTCAACGTCTGCCAATGGGTTTAGGACAACAAGCAACAAATTCTCTTAGAAGGGCTAAGTCGTCATCTGCTGTAAACCTAAGACTCTTTATAGGTTCTTTAGTATTGGAAGAGGTGGAATCCATATTTTGGGCCATATTTATTTAATTAAAACTAATCCCAGCTACTTAAATATCAAATTACCTAATAAAACTAAAGCAATAATTCAAAACAATTTAAACATAACCTAAAATAAAGGATCTCGTCGGCCGGCTCCGGTTGTAGAGATAGATGATACCCGCACATGCCCATTTGAGCAATTTTTAAACGTTATCAGAGGTTATTTAGAAAGAGCGCTTGGTGTAATCGATCCGCAAATTACGTCAGGCGGTAACGTTATTAGCGGGTGTTGCGTTGACTCGCGCATATCGTACGCGTAAATACCGGATGACGCTATTGGGTTTTCCGATATCTCTCTAATAACTGTGCCGGTCAGGCGCTGTGCACAATTTTAGAAGCCATAAGTGGGCGTGCTATGTGCGCAAACTAGTCACCTAACTAGTGCCCGATTCCGAAAATTGGAACCACGAAAAACAATAAAGAAAAAACAAAGATTATAATCTGTATAATCTGTGATATAAGTAACTAAAGTTTACATCACTAATAAGCATTTTAGAACATACATTTATACGAACTTTTTTACTTATTTTTAGCTGCAAGATATGCTGCCGAAGTTTCCGGAATACAGTTCGGACCACCCTGTAGATATAGATACTAACATTATTTTCTATTTTATTTTTCAGACCCAGAACCAATGGAAAAATCACCATAATATTGTATAAGCCATCAACAGACGTCTTTGTATAAAATTATTTCTCGTGCTATTTTTGGTCAGTTTACTCAGTTCAAGCAAATACGTATGGTATAAAGTACGTATATTATGATATACAGTGTATGTATAGTATTACTCGTAATTACTTGGTCGAAATTAAGTTATAATGTATGAAATTTGGATGACCAATGAAACGTTTCAATCACCAAAGAGCTTAATTATTGCTTAATTACGTTTTATTGTAGATTTTAAATTATAACTTTAAAAAAAATGTTAACAAAACTGAACATGTTTATATGTACGGGGTGGCCCAGGCTTTCCAAAAAGCTCTATATTAAATTGGTTTGTGATTTTCATTTCATTTTTTTTTACGTAATCTGGGGGTAAGGGTAACGCACATTTTGAAAATATTTTTAACAACATACAGGGTGATTCAAACATATTTTCAAACTAAAGTTGTATATTTTTGTATATTTCCAATTAGAATACTTTATATTATTTAGCTCATTACGTAAAAAAAATAAAATGAAAATCACAAACCAGAATCTTAATATAGAGCTTTTTTTGGAAGTCTGGGTCACCCTGTATATGCTACAGTTATATTAAATTGTAAATATCTCTAAAGAAGACAAAAATATTTTTGTTACGAATTTAAATTTAAATATTAAAGGCGTCTTACTACATCTCGGAAATGTTAATAATTAATGCCTAATTTTAATACATACAGTTTTCTATCTATTTATCGGTTGCAGATAGTGTTTAAAAGTTGTTGTTCTAATTTTCACAATGGATTCTAACAACTCCCACAAACAAATATATTTATACAATAACAGTTAACTATTCACAATATAGTTGTACTATAATATCACATCTCAATTCAATTAACTAAGATTCAATGACTTTTATAGGCATTATTTTCTTATAAATATATTTTCACTTGAGACACTCTTTTATTATATTTTATTAGCGTTTACTGTTAGCCTTAAGAAGGTTGTAATTTATTTTCATATTGAGTAAAAATTATTTTTAAACAGTGTAGAATTTAAAATTCGAGAAAGCAGTTTTTTTAAATACAGGGTCGCTTTTATGTATGGAAACGGTCGATTATTAGGTAAAATATAGGAGGTACCGAAAGTTAAATATAGAAGTAATAAGGTTTATAAATATCTATTAACGGGTAATAAATTTAAGTATACAGGGACGGTCACAAAGTCAATGCACATCAAACTTTCAGTTTTTTAAATAGAACCCCCAATATAGTATATTATTATACTTAAATAGTATATTATTACATATTTCGGTTCTTCCTGCAATTCTAAGTAAAAATCTAAAGACACATAATGTACCTCATATACCAACCGTTTCCGAGTTTTTGACTTTTGTAAATATCACTTAAACAATTTGATTTAATTAATTTCGATATGTTCAGTTTCATTTAACGACGCCATTTTGCCGAAACTGTGATACTTTAAAATATTTGATATTAGTTCTCAACTTAGCATTTATAGATGCATTTATAAATGAGAGTATAACAAGTCTGGAAATTACAAAATTTTCGTTTAACATTTCAATTCTTCAATTTATGTACATAGTGTATTACGATTATTGTTTAAAATTGAAGGAAGAATTATATATGCAATGATATACAGGGGGTTTCATTTAAAAGAAATAAAGTTTGATGTGACACAACTTTATGACCGACCCTGTATACTTAAATTTACTAGTAGCTAATAGGAATTTAAAACCCATTACAATATATTACAGTTTCGACAGAATGGCATCATTAAATCAAACCAAAAACATCGAAATTAATTAAATCGAATTTTTTAACTGATATTTTCAAAGCTCAGTAACTCGGAAACGGTTGCTTTGAGGTACATTGGGTGTATTTCGATTTTTGCTTAGAATTGAAGAAAGAATTGAAATATGTAATAATATACAGGGGGTTCTATTTAAAAAAATGAAACTCTGATGTGCCACGACTTTATGAACGACCCTGTAACATTTAAGTTTATTACTCGCTGATAGATATTTAAAAATCCTATAACTTTTGTATTTAACTTTTTGCGGTATCTCCTATATTTTACTCAATCGACCGTTTCCATACATAAAAGCGACCCTGTATATTTATGTGTCCGGAAACATTTCCAGCCGTTTTTTTTTCGCCCATACGGTACTAGGACATGTTTTATAAACAGTTAGTGATTTTAAATTTGAAGTTTGTGGAGGCTAATGGGAATTAAGATAACAATTAATTTTAAACGCATTTAGTCTTATTTTTAATGATGGAAAATGTTACATTAAAATTAGGCCTGCTATAGAATTTTAGTGGTTATTAAATTATTATTAGGTATATAGTTTTTAGGTTTCTTTGCTCAGGGTACAAAATATTTACTTGACTACCTCAAAATAGACTTATTTTTATATATTTATATAAGATATTTAGACTATACGAATTTTTGTTTTACATTAATTTTATATTTATTTACATAAAGGTAACATAAACAATGTCAATATAGTTGTTGTCGAATATTGTTTTTTAACAATAGTATAATAGTTACCAACAACTACCGTGATAAAAAATAATGGCTCAATTCTCTAGCTAAAATCAGTTATGAAAGAAATATTTGTTTATTTAGTATTTGGAAGCCTTTTCGAATAGTATGCCACAAAAAAGTTTCTGCGGAAATGCATCCTTTTTGGGTTTTTCAACTTTAGTTGAAATCAGGGCTGATTTTTAGTTTAGCTGAAATCAGTTATGTAAGAAGTATTTTATTTAAAGGCTTTCAAATACTATTTGAAAGCCTTTTCCTCGGCCTTTTCAAATAGAAATTCAAGAAAAATTTTCTGCGAAAATGCATAATTTTCAATTTTTTAATGAATAGCTGAAACCAGTTACATGAAAACACGTTTCTGTTATTCATGCTAGAAAAGTTTCTAAACATAGACACGCAAAATTTTTGGATTGGATTGGTTTGTTTTGGTTTGGTTTGTTTGCGTTATTTTTTCTCGGTACGGTATTGATGTCTAAATTACAGTATCTACTAGATTAAGTTCATACCTACACAAAAAAGTGTTTAAAATGTAAAGTTGGGAACATGTTTTCATGTAACTGATTTCGGAGAATGATGCATTTCCACAGAGAAATTTTTATAATTTTGTGTTTGCAGAGGCTTCTAATATACTGGATGTTTTGTTGTTTTGTTTTATAAGTAATTCCAGCTAAAAAAAAGTTCACACAAAATAATATTACTTTTCTTCAAGAGGCAATTCTTTAAAATGTTATGAGAAGCACAAGTATTAATTCTAGTAAGATTTTAAATAATTACAGTGACGGCTCGTCTTCAAGGGTACAGGGGCAAAGATAGGATAAAAAGAATGATAAAAAGAAAGAAATAAGTACATAATTGAGAGCACGATGATATTTTTACATCAAACTTTATACAATCAAATATTGACGTTATTTCTTGTATGAAAACTAGGACAGTATTTATATGTACTAAAAATAGCTAATAGGTAAGTTTTTCTTTGGAAGGTTGTACCCACCCTTCTTCACAATTCACGAGCCGCCACTGAATAATTATATTACAATATTTGGGACCAATTCCTGAAACACTGACTTGTTTATTTCAACGAAATTTGTTCAATTACAATCTTAAATCTCACGGTAAGCAACTTTTAATACAGATATGGCTCTAAATATTTTTATTGGAATATTTTGGGCCAAACTAGTAAATAAAGATATCGTTGATATGAAAATGAATGATTATTAAATGAAAATTTCCATATGGAATAATATATGAGAATTAGTTTTAGATACAAATACAAATATTTATTATGTTGTAGAAAACGGATTGAGTGAAATTTATCCCATTTTTTGGCTTTGAATCATTGTAAAATAAACACAAAATGTGCCTAACCTTAATTTTTATACAGGGTTATTTGCGTTATTCTACATGGAGTAGTGTAGCTAAGGGGTTAGATTTTTAGCAAAATATTATTTTTAAAATTGTTCAAATCCAGAAATTGTTTATATCAATTAGAACTCCAATTTAAATTTATTTTCAAAAAGTATATATCAAAATAGTGAAGTGGTAGTTTTAAATGGAGCCTCTGAATACTATTATAACTATTACATTTTTAGTTTCCACAATTAAAATAATGACAGATTTAATTAAGGTTTTTCTCATATAAATGTTACCGTTTTGAAACATTTTCAATTTTTTGAAAATACTTCAACTATTTTCCCATTTCCTCTTACGAATATAGTACCACATTTATGTATGTACACTGAAATTTACGTAATAACCTCAATTGTGGACAATTACTTGCTGTAAATGACAATAATTTGTTCAATTTAAATTAAAATCTAGTATATTTTGCCTGTATCTGATACAAAATTTGAGTATCTATCAAATTGCGTTCTATGTTTCACTAGCTCTTCGGCTTATTGAAGCAAATTCATCATTTTGTACAATACTCTTCCAGATAACGAAAATAACCCTGTATACACCCTTCAAAATGTTTTATACTTTATATCAATAGCTGTTAAAATGTTCAAACAGTGATCCTCAGTACAAATATAACTATATAATATAGGTTTTACTTACTTAACAGCAACGTTACAAGCATATTTTACAATATCATTGATATTTCATGTTCTGTTGCAGTCTACCTACATATTGTTCCTACCTGTTTCGTCTTAAACAGTGTTTATGCATCATCAGAACACTAAAGTTAACTACAGAAATAAAAAAGAATAATTCATATTTTTAAGTAGGTAATGTTATTTTAAGTAATTGACAATATTGATCATACAACTTGGTAACGCGGTGTATGTAACTACATATATTATTAATGAGTGTCTGATTTTGCATCTACTTGTACCTGATACGTCAGTATAGTTAAGCTTTGCGCCAATAGTTAGGTCTTACAACAGTGTAGTTAAGCCACAATGTGTACTTAATTCCTTAGTTTACTCATTATATTTACTATATATTTCTTATTTTACCCACCGTACAGTGTTCAATGCTGGTGCATATTTTAAAGTACAAGTGTCATTTCGGCATTTTTTTTGAAACTTTATTGATGATGAAATAATAAAACTCCAATAAGTTCTCCTTGTTGGATCCAGTACAAATTTAAAGAAAGATAAAGTTTCAAAAAATCTTCTTTAGACTGACTAACTAGGAGATTGTTTATATACATACCTATTAGTTTAATTAATATTATTTAAGGAATACCTATTTAGTACCTTTAATATATAATTACTTTATAACCACTAAAACAGTGTTTTATTTTTTTGTGTATTAAACACAATATGATCGAAAAATGTGGCGTCAATGATGGCTATGAAATGAAGATCGTACGATCGTCATTTTTATATGCAAAATCGAGTGCAAAATTACATGAGGAATATCATCGATCGTCATTTCCAAGCCAATCGGACGCCTTTTTTTTCGACCATACAATTTTATGTACCTTGGTTACCTTTAATATACAGGGTCGCTGTTATGTATGGAAACGGTCGATTATTAGGTAAAATATAGGAGGTAGGTACCGCACAAAGTAAAATATAAAAGTTATAGGGTTTATTAGTATCTATAAGCGGGTAATAAATTTAAATATACGGGATCGGTCATAAAGTCGTGGCACATCAATGTTTCATCTTTTTAAATGGAACCCCCTGTATATTATTGCATATTTCAGTTCTTCCTTCAATTCTAAGCAAAAATCGAAATACACACAATATACCTCAAACCAACTTTTTCCGAGTTATTGACTTTTGAAAATATCACTTAAACAATAATTTAATCTAATTAATTTCGATATGTTCAGTTTCATTTAACGACGCCATTCTGCCGAAACTGTGATACTTAATAATATTTGACATTAGTTCTCAAGTTAGCATATAAAATGTATAAAATGAGAGTATATCAAAAGTCTGGAAATTACAAAATTTTCGTTTTCAATTCTTCAATTTATGTACATTCCCAACAAGCAAAATTTATTGCTGGAACATTGCCAAAACTTCGCAAAGCAAGGTGTAATATTGCTTTTTTCATTGTAGGGAGGTTTATGCAAGGTGGCAGGGTAGCTTAATCTTCCGCCAAATTACATTGCAGTGCAAGGTTGAAAAACACAATATTATTGAAACGTTGCTAATGTAACGTTCAGGAAAGTACTAATTTGAGATGTATTAGTAATATTACTAATTTTACGTTAATACAATATTGGTAAAATTATATTGTACCTATGTTTCAAAACTTATTATCCATTAAACTTTCTATTTTGTTATAACTTATTAACTGACTTAACGCTATAATAATATAGCAAAAAATAGCTAATGTTTGCAATTAAAAAACATTTCATTAACAACATTAACAATTTTATGCAATTTTATGTTAACAATAATACATCAGTAATAGGTTGTAATCAACAGAAACATTAATGGGTATTAAATTGTAGACTTTCAGATAGGTATAATATACTTTTACTAATATTGTATTGACGAAAAACAAACAATATTGATAAAAATATGCATATCTCTATATCCATTGACTTAGAAAAATTAAAAATGCTCGGTATAAATATATCCCTACAAAGAAAGTCGAATTTGTCAAACAAATTGAAAAAAAAACAGATAAAAATTAGAAATTTATCACTTACTTGTTTCAAAAATATCAAAAATACTGTCAAGTACTAAGAACTTACTGATCTTTTCGGCTGCTCATTAAATAAGGAATTACACAACTCCAACCTCTGAGTAGAATTTCTAAAAAAATCTCAAAAAGTTGAATGTCTGAAATAATACAAAATATACAGGGTGGCGCACCTCATTCGCCTCGGTTGATTATACGAAAACGGAAAGATGTAGAAACAAAATATTTTATGGGTACATGTGGGAAGGCAATGTGCATAATTTAAAATTATTTTGAAATGTACAGGGTGTCTCGGAACTAAGATCCATACCAAAGTTATGTTTTTTGTTATGGAACATCTGGTATTTTATTTCATTTTCGGATTCTTGGACATAAAATAAGGCATTTATTATAAGGGTTTAATATGTTTAAAAGCTTCGGTTTTTGAGATATTTAAAGATATTTAAATATGCATGCTATAATAGAAAAGTTTGTCAACACCCCGTACATTACTTTTCAGAATTAATTCTTGTGCTGACTTCCAAGCCAGATAAATAAACTTTACTAAAAAACTTTATTGCTTCCTTATATGTATACAGGGTTATCAAAAATTGCTGGTCTATTTTAAATATTTATTTTACATAAAAACTTCGCTATTTCAAATACAACACCCTGTACTTTGTTAAATAAGTCGAAGCAGGTTTAAATGCTCTTTCAAACTGTATTAAGGTTTCCTATACCTATTTGGCTCAAATTTTGAATAAAAAGCGATTTTTCAATAAAATTGTAATCAAGATGGGTGGTGTCGCCAATGCAATTTTCTAGTGACAGTAGTTATTTTCAAAATCAACATTAGTTTATGGACTTTATTTAAATTTATAACAGGTTATTTTTATTTAATTTATCTACAATAAGGTTTAAGTATTTATTATTTTATCAAGAAAAATGAAGCAGTATCTGCTGACCGAAGGAATGGATATGTTACTAGTGATTTAATTTTTTGAGGACAATTGCCTGGGAGGGGGGGGGGGTAGTCTAAAGGGTTTATGCTCAAAGATATCCAAATAGAAATTTTCTTGACAAGCGTTCCTTTGAAAAACAACTTTTCCTATTTCGCAGAGCTGATAGTGTGGTATATGAAAAACCTATTAGGCAAAAACCTGTCATTGGAAGTGAAGAAAATGAATTTGCCTCAATTGGTTCTTTTATAGAAAATCCAATATTTCTACAAATCATCGTAGGTAATATAAATCAAAAAGAACTACTTACTAATATACTTAATAATAAATACTTACTTATTAAACTATTGTAGGTAAATTAAATAAAAGTAAACTGTTGTAAATTTAAATAAAGTCCATAAACTATCATAAACTATTGTCGATTTTGAAAACAACTACTAACTGTCACTAGCAAATTGCCATGGCGACAGCAGCCATCTTAATTGCCATTTTATTGAAAAATCGCTTTTTATTCAAAATCTGAGCTAGATAGACATGGAAAACCCTAATACAGTTTGAAAGAGCATTTAAATCTACTTCGATTTATTATAAAAAATACAGGGTGTTGTATTTGAAATAACGAAGTTTTTATGTAAAATAAATATTTAAAATAGACCAGCAATTTTTGATACCCCTGTATACATTTAAGGAAGCAATAATTTTTTTTAGTAAAGTTTATTTCGCTGGCTACAAAGGCAGCATTAGAATTAACACTGAAAAGTAATGTACAGGGTGTTGACAAACTTTTTTATTATAACTTGCATATTTAAATATCTTTAAATATCTCAAAAACCAAAGCATTTAAACATATTAAATCCTTATAATAAATGCCTTATTTTATGCCCAAGAATCCAAAAATAAAATAAAATACCGGGTGTTCTGTAAGAAAAAATATAACTTTGGTATAGATCTTAGTTCTGACACACCCTGTACAATTGAAAATAATTTTAAATTATGCACATTGCCTCTCTACATATACCCATAAAAAATTATGTTTCTACATCTTTCCGTTTTCGTATAATCAACCGAGGCGAATAAGGTGCGCCACCCTGTATAGGTACAGTATAAACATTATTATATATTTCTTATTCAAAAATACAAAAGGAAAGTATAACATTAAATATATGTACAAGGAAAGGCAAACTTATATTTTAATCGATTTTTTGGATCTTTCATATTTTGTCTTCGCATGTTGAATTGTCTTATTCATGGTTTTAAATTCCTCTTCGGTAAAGTTTTGAAATCTATATCCAATCATTTCTAAAGTAGTAAAAATAAAAACAATCAGTAATAAATATAAAACAATGAGTAACTTACCTCTTGTGACAGTAATCTTTGAGGCCCCTTTATGTCCTTATTTTAAAAATCTCAAATGATCATTAAAAAAATATTATTGAGAATAATTAATACTGAATATTATTTGTGATTTTATCATTAGATGAATATACTCGTATCTCGTATCCTGTTTTATCTACTTCAATTTTCAGTTGGCTAAAAGCTAACCTAAAACAAAATTTAGCTTATAAACAAACTAAACAAAATTTGTTATACTTATTCATGGCTAAGCATTATTAAAACACACATGATAATAAAATTATACTTCTTCTTCTTCTTGTTTCACGATGACCACGCGCCTTTCGACGGCCAGTCAGAGTCTATTATTCTTTGATTATTGTTTCTTTCTGGTTTCTTTATTCTTCAGTCAAACAGAAAACGTCCTCACGGACGCAGGCGCCTGGAATTGAAGAGACTGTCGGCGCATTGAGCAAAACTTCTGCTCGTTACTGCACTTTCATATGGGATGATTCTCTTCTAGGGCCCTCTAAATTAGACTTTTATGTCAAGGTAGTGAAGGATCAGGAATCACAAAGGAAAGACATGTACTGTGGCGTGTCCAGCAACTAACAGACAGGGACTGCGCCAGGCCAGGATGAATATAAGGAATATACTGCAAAATAAATTACTTATTATTGAAAGTTAAATATCATCATTATTCACCATTTCTAGCAAAGCAGGAACATGCAAAGCGTGATTAAGCTGCAAAAAACTACTACAATGCCTAGATATTTATGTTATTCTCGATTAAAACCTGTAGTACTAGTTCTACTTCTATAGAGATAGGATTCCTTTCTAGTTGAAAAATATTTAAGCAAAAACATCCAGCAAGCCACAATTATTCATCTACATGTAAGTTTACTCTAGATTAGCCAGTGTACAGACTGATAGTCTTATTGGCATGAAATCCATAAGCGTGGCGAATCCATAACCGTAGGTATTCAAAATTTAATACTATTTTGCTTAAGGTATATACACCAATTTTGCCTCTTTGGATATTGGGTTCCTCAGGACATCTTGAATCTTAATGGGAGAACTCATACAGCTAGCTAAAGACAGGTATAGAGTATGACATGCTTGATCTCTCAAACTACAAGCAAAAATAACGTGCGTAAGGTCCCCCTTACTTCCACATTCACACAGAAAAGAGTCTTTGATACCCAACTTGTGGAGATGAGTCGGAGTGAGACAATGTCATGACCTCATTGTGCAGAACAAACTGACATATTCGCGATTTTCATCCGCGCATTTGTCGAACCATGGGGATCTGAGAGGTTGTGGAACAATGTTATAGTAGAAGACTCCTTTTGTTTGACCCATATTATGATATAAATTTGTCCATTCTTGTCTGCTTTCCTTCTTTATGACGCCAAGGAGCTCAGAATAATGAATCTTATTATTCACCAGGTTCCTGGACTTTCTCCCAAGAGATGCCAGTCTATCAGCTTCCGTGTTACCATCAATATTAGAGTGGCCAGGGATCCAGATTAGTCTTATAGATTTTCCTTGTTGTGTTAGAGTAATAATTCGCTCTTTTATTCTTCCTGCTATTTTTCCTGCTCTACAAGAAATATCCGAACGTGTGATACTCTGTAGAGCACTATTTGAATCTGACAGAATGGCAATTTTCTCTGCATCATCCCCAAGACCCAATAAGGCTCTCTCAATGGCTAACATTTCAGCACTGCATATAGACGTGTCCTTTATGCATCGGCCAATTGCTGAGTATCTTTTAAAAAAATTGTATATTCCAATACCACTTCTTTCAGATACAGGATCCAGTGACGCATCCGTGTATATTAGCTCATACCCTAATAATTATTTTGAAATAAACTCCTGCAGTTTGGATTGACATCCTGGGGAAGCTTTAGTAAGGCCTGAATCTTCCCAGTGTACATCTTGTATCTGACAATCAAAGTCAGCTTCGAAACATGGTAATATCTGGCTTTTTTCGAGTATGTTGTGAAACGATAGCACTGAGTCCAAGCCTTCCAACAAGGCTGGTGATTCCCTTCTCGCCCAATAAGGGGGATCCTGATTGTAAGATATGTATAGCCCAATTAGACTTGCTGAAATAGCCTCTTCTGTGCAAGCCAGTTTCTTAGCCGAGAATTTGGCACATAACCAAACTCTTCTGGCTCTTAACGGCATTTCAGCCGTCTCAGACAAAAACATTAGTGGGGGTGCTATTCATGCAACCTGTTACTACTCTTAAAGCTTGCATATACATTTTGTCATATTTTCTTGCATTCTTTTTTGACATCGTTAATAATGCCTGACAACCATAGTCCATGTGGCATCTTACGATGCCCTTGTATATATTCGTTAATGTAGATGGGGGGGATCCCCACCAAGTTCTGCAGAGAGCACGCATCACGTCTACTCCTTTCTGTGCTTTTCTGCAAGATTCTTCAATATGAGGATTCCAGAGAAGACGACGATCCATTATGAGACCAAGATACTTATATTGTTCCACCCATTCCACATCTTGTCCATCCGCTCTTATCGATGATCTCATATGAGGAGGATTTGCTCTTTTCCCTCGAGAGAAGTACATTGCCTTAGTTTTAGAGGGAGAGATGCTTAGACCATTGTTCTTCAACCAATCCAACATAGATATTAATGTTCGTTGAATTCTGTTTATCGCATTGTCAACATTCTTATGGGAAGTGTAAATGACCAAGTCATCTAAATGGTTCTAAGGGGTTTTGTGGAGTTTTCTACGTTTGAAGTCGATTTATACGATTTAGGTATAGCTTTAGGGATTAATGTAATAATAAATCTAAACATATAATAACAGCAAGGATCTATAAAAAACACAAACAATTTAAATGGTAGTTAAGTACGTAAGCAGGTATAGGTAATAAATATATGTACGTGCACTTAACTGTTCGAAATACACTAGGTAGAATCCAAATTTAAGAATGCTTATTTTTGGAATTCTCAGACAGCAAGATACCATAACATTAATAAATTATATTTAGTAAGGCATCATGCAATTCACGAATGAATTTTTCGAATCAAATTTTGATTTTCCGAAGTTTGCATCTATAGTAGTTAGCTAGTTTTCTTTCGTGACCGGGACAATTACTTTTTAAAAAACAACACAGAGACTTGATCAGTTTATTAATATGTTTGGTTGAACAGTACTAACAAAAAGATGAGAAAATATAAATGTAACTTATATTTATAAGCTTCTACTGCTGAGGCAGCAGTGACGTCAAAGGCGTGTGACGTACCCAGCTACGTGGATATAATTCCTCCCTCACAAGTGGATACCTTCCATTCCGCAGGTATCTCCATATCTTGTCTTAAAACGTCATTATAAATGTTTATCAGTCATTCCTTCATTTTAATGGGTATTTTGGAAATCATCTTGAACGTAATGTTATCTTTTCCTGGACATGATTCCTTCCTGTTTTTTAAGGCATAGTTGAATTCATACATGGAAATACTCTTTAGGTCATAGTTGTTGAATGCTCTAGCTGCTGAGAAGTATTTAGCGATGTCTTTAGCGACAACTCCTTTTCAGCGCAGTGTCTAACTTGTATATAACTATTGGAGTATGCCTTGACCACTTTCCATATGGTACTCATGGGTGTCTTTTTATCAAGGCTTTCTGTAAATTTTCTAAAGCTTTCCTTTTTCTTTCGTTCCATGATCATTCTTGTTACAGCCGCTTTTCTTTTGTACTCCAGATAGTTATGATCGCTGATACTTTCTTTATATGCCCGAAGCGCCCTGCTCCGTTCATCCACTGCCACGCGACATGCATAATATCATCCCACCACCTTGGTTTGGGAGTTGCTTTTCTCTTGCCCTTTTGGAATGACGTTTTTGGGATATGTCCCAATGCTGCCCTATTGATCTCCTCTACCAGACTTAGATAAGAGTTTACGTTCACCTCCTGATTGAAGCTCATGAAGTATCCGTCTCCGCCTTCTTTGTGTTCCATCTACTTATAGGGTTATGTACTGTTTGGATGAACAAGTTAGAATCAATAAATACCCTCGTTAGAAAGTGATCACTCATGCCTGGGCTATCTACAATTTCCCATGAGATGTTTGGTCCTAGTTCTGCCGTCATTAAGGTGATATCCGGACAACTTTTCCCTTGGTTCGGGGGAGTAATCCTGGTCGCTGACCCGTCATTTGCTATCAATATATCATTCTCAGAGCATTTAGCTAAGATGTTCTTTCCTGTGTAGTTATTGCGGGAAGAGCCCCAATTAATGTGTTGTCCATTAAGGTCTCCCAAAAAAATGCTTCTATTTGTCCATTTGTCCATAAACTCTTGGATATTCTCTCTCTCGTTAGATGAATGTCCGGAGGGCAATATACAGTAAAGATCGACAAATTTTTTATGGAAATTCCTAAATACTGAACCCTCCAGTCTATATTAATATTAGTATTGCACTGGGCAAATGGTATAGAAGAGCTGACCAGAATGGCTACTCCTCCCTTTCCATCCTGTCTGTCTTTCCTTACAATACTGTATGATGGGATAATAACTTTGATGTGCGGACTCAGCCATGTTTCATTAAGACACACTACGTCAGGTTTATAAGAATTGAGTAAAATTATTAATTCAGAATAGTTTCTCAGTAAACTTCGGATACTCCAGTGTATGATACTTAATTTGTTAACTTGGATCATTAGGTACCTTTAAGGTGTATGTTGTGAACTCCCCGGAAGTACTTCCAACTCCATATCTTCCAAGGAAATGTTATTCTCTGAATTACTTATCTGAGCGTTTCCACTTGCATTAATTTTTCCTAACACATATTGCGCTACCTCAAGTGAGGCACCTGACTCCTCCATTGTTTTCCTCATGATCTCAGTTAATGGCATAACTTCTACCTCATCTGAACCCATTGGAGGAACTTGATTAATAATTGGGCTAATTGGACTTTAACAGGGACTGGCATATAGTGCTCCCCTTGTATCTATCTTATTTATCAGGGGAGGGGGTCATGATAGTTTTTTCCTCTTAAGTTTGCTTACCTGTGAGTATGTTGGTTTTTGTGTTAAAGCTGATTTTTGCGACTGTATATTGGCCATTCTTTGCCTGACCGGAATGCCCTCATTTATTAACTGCTTGTTCAGGGTACTAGGAAAGTCCCTGCTGTCTAGGTGAGCTCCGACGAAGGAAGACTCGGCTGATTCATAATTCTTGGGTACTTTGTTTCTAGCTTCAAAATATGACGTGTTTTCTGCCGCCATTATTTCTTTTATAGCCCTCTGTCTCTTATACTCCGGGCAATTTCTATTTGTGGTGATATGATTTCCTTTACAGTATATGCGGACCGCCTTCTTCTCTTGGCAAGCAGATATACCGTGTTCTTCGGCACATTTAGAACACTTCTGTTTGCTTCTACATTGTGTATTCGGGTGTCCATACCTCATACAATTGAAACACATGATCACAGGGCTGACATATACATCCACTATTACTTCGCAATATTCAATTTTTATGGACCTAGGAATAATTTTACCTTCAAATGTAATAATTACTGATTCTGTGTCTATACCTATACTTTGCAGTGCCATCAACTATTATCTTTCTTTGTAAACGTCTAGCTTCAATTATCTTCGGTCCAGTTCTCCGTTCTGACACTATTTCCTCCATTTCTATGTTTTTATACACTCCTCTAGCAACTCCCTTACAGGAGACTAAGCTAGGTGGTATATATGCTTCTAGATTTCTTTCCTTTAGTAATTTGCTAGAAAACAATTCATTAGCTGCGTTCCAAGAGCTGAATTCAATACTGACTCTGTTTTTTCCCTTCCTCGAGACTTTATTAACACCTATTATTCCAAATTCCTTAAGCCATCTTCCTAAACACATAGGGTGTAGGTTGCCAAAGTTTTGTGTAACCTCCTCATCTTCTTTTCTGGTTTCCACTATTACCAAGTATGGTCCAGAATCTTTATATGTGTATTTAAAAGACTTCTTAGGGGGGCCAATTGACCCCCCTGAAGAAGCTACCATGCTTGTTAATTCAAAAAAATTAGGTTATGGAAGGCAATGCAGGAAAAAAGGAAATAAAAGCTAATTATATCAGAGGATTATTGCTCCCACTTACCCACTAATTATTTCTATCAAAATTGCACTTATTTATACTACTCCACTCGCTAAAAAACACTTTTTAAAGTAAGACGAACGAAAAGAACGTACGTCACTTTCTGGCGCCAATCTTTTTTTTTATAAAATTATACTTACATTTACATTCATTAAAATCTCATTCGAAAAGCATAAAACATGATACCAAAAACGTAAAAAAACAAGTGCGTTAACCTAACCTAACTTCTAACTTATACCGTATGATAAAAAAATGCGTCAGCGATGGCTATGAAAAGAAAATCGCTGTCATTTTATATGTAAAATTATATGGGGAATGTCATCGATATTCATTCCCAAGCCATCTAGACGCCGTTTTTTTTCGATCTTATGGTATATTTGTTATATTATTAATTATTATTAACTTGGGCGGATCTTTCATTTGAATTTTTGTTGCAATGATGCAGAAAAAACGTTTTAATCACATTCAAAAACAATGTTTCTGTAGCAAGGTTTCATCAATCACGACACAACGTTTAGAAATTAGCATCACAAAACAAACTGTTTGGGGATTGACTGCAATGTTGCAAATGTAATGTGAGGTTTTCTGCTTGGTGGGTTGTGTTACGATTGGATGGAGTGGCAATGTATAGAACATGTGGCAAGACAGGTCCAGACCGATGGCCCCAAAAAGTCATCCTATGGAGGCCTAGGGGAACAACAAGAAGTGTGGACCGACGAAAAAAGAGATGGATCGATGACGTCAGGGCAGTGGCGGGAAGACAATGGATAAGATTGGCTAGAGATCGCGAAGCGTGGAAAGAGGCCTATATCCAACACTGGATGGAACCAGGCTGAGAAAGAAGAAGAAGAAGTGTTATGATTATTGCTTAAAATTGAAGGAATAATTGAAATTTGCTACAATATACAAGGGGTTTCATTTAACAAAAATAAAGTTTGATGTGACACAACTATATGACCGACCCTGGATACTTAAATTTACTAGTAGCTAATAGGAATTTAAAAACCCATTACAACAGTATCACAGTTTCGGTAGAATGGCACCATTAAATCAAACCAAACATATCTAAATTAATTAAATCGAATTGTTTAAGTGATATTTTCAAAAGTCAATAACTCGGAAACGGTTGGTTAGAACAAGATTGTGTGTATTTCGTTTTTTGCTTAGAATTGAAGGAAGAATTGAAATATGTAATAATATTTTAAAAAATGAAACTTCGATGTGCCACGACTTTATAAACGACTCCGTATATTTAAATTTATCACTCGCTAATAGATATTTAAAAATCCTATAACTTTTGTATTTAACTTTTTGCGGTGCCTCCTATATTTTACCTAATAATCGACTGTTTCCATACATAAAAACGACCCTGTATACTTACTTTATAACCACTAAAACAGTTGTTAAACAGTTAACTGTAACGATTTGCTAAAGATGAATAAGCAAAAGCGAAAACACTCTTCGAAAAAGAGGAGAGTAAAGGAACCAGTAAAGAGAGAAAAAATCCCAAAAGGGGCGACCATCACGGTCTTTCTACCGAGGAGCAAAGAGAAAAGACACCACCTGCCTGCTGAGCCTTATCCAGGCTCAGAACGCCAATGCAAGGACATCGAGTTAGCGAGTCATCAATTCGATGGAGGAGGGCCATGGTCAGATCCTCACAATACGAATGAATCTCAAATCCAAGGAGGCAATAGACAAAGAGGGAATCCTCTATTATAGATTAGGGACAACACCGGTATCAGGTCTATGGATAGACCAAGTTAAAGAGGTTAGTCTAAGCGGTACGCAAAAAAATCTGACGAATGATGCAGAAAGCAAATCCTTTGGTATGTGAACTTTGTATACATATCTGTAGAAGTAATTTGACTCGCAGCACCTTGAACTCTGACCCCGCTGACAAAAACAGCAGCCATTTTTTTTAAAATTCAGGTTAGATTTTCAAAAAAAATATATATATACAGGGTGTCCCAAAAATGATGGATCCAATTAAAGTAGGAGGTTGGGGAGGTTATTTCCAACAAAAAAAGTCCTATAGACATATGTCCGATTCCTTACCGTTTGTGAGTTATTGCTATTTTTTATGATAATCTCACATTTCTTCACAATTTTTTTTTCAAAAATTTTTTGTTGATATTTTTTTCTCAAATAAAATTTTAATAGCATCCCTATAAAGGCTTCTTTATTGTACAGCGCATTTTTTATTGTGCGTGCTAATTACGCAACCTACTGTCATTTTTAAGCACATTTTTAGGATTTTAATTGAAAAACTTTAAGGTTTGTGGTAATTTTTCAGAAAAAATATTCAATTAAAAAGGGGTCCCATAACATAAAAAACTACGGTCAGGTATTCTTTTTTAAATAGGGTACTTTTTAAAAATAATCAAATAATTGTTATTGCTGAAATTTGTTAAACATTAATAAATACATAATATTGATTAAAATCAGAGAAATAAGATATGTGATAGTACTGAGTAAGTTTATTTATAATGAAATTATTTACATAAAAAACTTATAATAATAATTAGGTTACAAAAGGTGTTCAAAATGTCCCCCATTTGCTCTAATACAAAATCTGCATGATGTATAAAATTTTGTTTTATGCGCCTTAAAGCGGGAACATTGGTACGAATTTGCTGTACCACTGCTCTTATTCTTTCACGAAGTTCATCTTCGTTATGGATTGCCTGCGAATAAACCTGTTCCTTGAAGTATCCCCAGAAAAAAAATCCAACGGATTTAAGTCCGGCCAACGTGGTGGCCATCTTATTGTTCCTCCTCGCCCTATCCACCTTTTGGGTAATGTTTGGTCAAGAAACTCTTGTAAGAAACTCATCTCACATTGCGAGCAAAATGAGGTGGAGCCCCGTCAAGCTGAAACCACATATTCGCACGTATTTGCAATCGGAATATCCTCCAATAAGATGTTTAGATCGTATGGTAAAAAATTAAGGTAATTTGGTCCATTCAGTCTTCTTGGTATTTCAAACGGGCCTATCAAAGTGCCGTTAAGTATTCCAGCCCATAAATTAATACAAACCTGATGTTGAAATCGATCAGCTCTAGTCGCTTGGATTCTCCATTGCCCAGTAATGTAGATTAGGAATGTTAAAAATTCTAATTTGGCTAAAACTGCATTCATCTGTTCATAAAATGTGTTGGAAAAAATTATTATCGTTTCTGGTTCGCTGCAACATTTCTCTACAAAATCAGGTAATAAAGCTTGCACTCGTTGAAAATGGAAAGGATGCATTTGATATTGTCTTAATATGCGATGGATTGTTGATCTTTGTATTCCCATAGTTTCTGCCATGCCACGAATACCTCTTGAAGGATCTGCTTCTACTTGATTTAACACGGCTTCCACATCATCGTCATATTGCCTTGGCCTTCTTCTACGTTCTATTGGGACTCCAGGTAATCTTCCAGCAACATATGCATTATGTACCCGAATAAAAACACGATAATCGGGATAGTGTTGTCGGTTCGGGTAACGTTGACGATAAAGTCTTGCAGCACGTCGCGTAGAGCACGTCCATTACACAACCCATAAACAAAAGGCATTTCTGCATATTCTTGCGAGGTAAAAAACATTTTGTTAATCTTGTCAGAACTGAACACTTGTCAATACACGACTAATATACACTCTTAAGGCCGGTTCTCATATACGCTTCATCGTGCTTTACTACGCTTGACTTCATCGAGCGTCAAAATGTCGCGTTAAAAAGTCTTTGTGTTTTCTTACGTAGCAGTTCTCATTTACGCTGCGCCTCGCTTGACTTCAACCGACTTGACGCTTCCAATTGTCGGTGGGCTTTCTTTCGCGCATTTGAAGTGCAGCGTTGCTCGATCAAGCGTGTTTAACGTTCTTGAGGTCCTATACAAGGTCGGAATCTGCTTTGTTTGCATATTTCAATTCAGGTCGTCTTCGTAGCCACACTGCTGGTTTCACGTGAACTGACGCTCCGTCGCTCCGGTTTTGAAGCTTATATGTAAATTCATCTCGGTAAATTGACGCTTTGTCGCGAAGCCAAGTCAAGTACAGTGAAGCGCGGCGAAGCGTATATGAGAACCGGCCTTTAAAGGCAATGGAATTTTGGTAAAATAAAAACTGTAGGTATTTTCCTCTGTATTTGCAGAATTTTTCTAAGCTGATAAACAGATAATTCAATTGGCAAATAAACATTTGACCCATCGAGTTAGTAGAGAATGTTTAGGCTAAAATGTTGAATTAAAAATTTTACTGTTTCCTTGTTGTCAGTTGTAAAAAAACATCCAGAAATGTGAGAAAAACAGATAATGCTTAGAAATGAAATATGTTTCTTAAGTCGGGCAATAGCAAGGTTTAAAATCCAAAATGGCCACCTTAAAAGTTTAATGAGATAACACTTAACTATTTAGACGCTAGATCTAGTATTTACACCTAGGTAATCTATTCCAAGTAGTGTTGCAACTTTTCCTGAAAAGTTGAAATTGTTGAAAAGTTCGATCATATTTCCAAGAAAAGTTCGGAAAACTTGGAAAAGTAGGAAAAGTTGAGTTTTAGAATAATTTTAAAGTGTCAAGTTATACCTATGTTGATGTTATACGAGTACTGTGTGGAAAACTCGGTGGAAACTATGTAAATGCAATACTCTATCACCAGTTTAATTATTTTACACTATATAAACGCAAACAAAACAATGAAACAAGAAAACAAACAATACAAAACAATAAAAAAATAACCTAGAAGACTCCTAAGATAAATCATCATTTGCGGATTTGAGGAATAATTTTACGCTGTTGTAACTTATCACGTTTATACAGATTTTATAACATATATATTTTTTTAATTCTATTTAAATCTACCAATTATTTTCACTAAAAATGGTCCCAAAAACTGCGACATTCACCTAATTTTTTTACTTTCGAAAATCGACAAAAACATAAAAAATCGAAAATGGCCAGCGGCTAAAGTATTCATAATTTGATACTAATTATTATTAGCAGGCAAGAACAGAATTTTTTTGATAAATTTTTAATTTAGACTATATTCAATCTTGGACAGCAGCAGTGTCGTGTACGAAAGTAAAAAAGTATTTAATTTCGCTTTTCTGGATATTGCACATTAGGCGAAGAATTACATAAAACGTCAGATTTTCAGTCAGATTTTTAGCACAGACGTGTAACCGGAAAAA